TGACCCGACGCAGCTACCTGACCAGACGCAGTGACTAGAGGAGACGTGGTGGTCAGTCTGTACAAGCTCGACCCCAGCCAACGTGTAAACGTGGCCAGGTGTCGGCCCGTCCGAGCGTCCGTGCAGTGGGTCACCCGCTGACGCGCAGGAGTGAACTGGTGAACCCCCGCATCCTGTAGGTCAGCACCACTCACCAAGTTCGTAGAGAACGAGGGGAGGTAAAGACCAGACAGGGTGCCAGAGGGGGCCGCCGGACACGGGAGGACAGTGGAGTAGTGAGTAAGGACAGGACCCCCAGAGGGGTCTGCCAGAGAGACTGCAACTGGCCGACCAAGCAGCGTGAGTGTGGTGCGGTCTCGAAAGAAGAAGCGAGAGGCCCCCGAGTCAAGGGTGAAGGTGAGGGAGGCCGAAGCCGACTCGGTACCTGAGAGCGCGGACTCACCAGCACCTGAGGAAGCAGACGCACTAGCACCTAGAGCAGCAGCCTCGCTAGCACCTAGAGCAGCAGCCTCACCAGTACCTAGAGCAGCAGTCTCAATGCCCAGGCCGGGCGGGAAACACCGGTAACAGTCACCCTCATCACTTATAGTCAGAGCATACATGGCAGCAAGAATAGCATCAAAGTCAAGGTCAAAGATAGCTACTCCCGCCCTAGACAGCTCACCCCAGCGGGGGATCTCCGTGGCCTCCGGGAACTGGTGACGCCAAGCGTCCGTCAGGCGGCCAAAGCAGCGCTGGGTGGAGTGCGCACCCCCACACTGCTCACCCGCGCGGTCGCCGGTGCGTAGGACGTAGGTGCACGGACCAGTACCCCCACCTCGCTGGCGTGCAGCGTACCACTCACGGAGCTGCTGAGGGGGGGGGATGTCACGAGTGCGCTGCTGCTGCTGCTGCTGGCGCTGACCACCACCGGAGCCGACCCTCTGCACAGCGCCACCCCGACCAGCTCCACCTCCTCCGCCACCGCCTCCTCCACCGCCGCCACCTCCGCCACCTCCGCTCCCACCGCCACCGCCGCCGCCTCCGCCTCCACTGCCGCCACCGACACCTCCACCCCCGCCACCACCCCCACCGCCACCCCCACTCCCTCCGCCGCCTCCACCGCCGCCTCCACCGCCCCCGCTAGCTCCTCCAGTGCCCCTGCCCCCCTTGCCCTTGCCAGGGCGGCGTCTCCCGCTAGGGGTAGACGCCGCACCGACCGACTCAAGCCCAACGAGGTCGGCCGCAGCAGTAGAGGCAACAGAGGGCAAAAGGGGGGAGGGGGAACACCCCTCAAAGATGGGGATGAGAGGGTCACCACGAGAGGCTCCTACAGCAACTATGCTGTTCTCCGCTGCTAGGAGGGCCTTCTCGAGGAGGTCAACGGTGAGGGTGGTGGGGCAAACTGAGAGGAAGTGGTCCCTGACTACGCGAAGGGAGTCAGGGAGGCGGGTGACTATGTAGTAAAGAGTGATGTACATGGGGGGGGGGGTTCTTGGCGCAGAACTCAGCAGGAAGCGCAGCGCGGTAGCGAGTGTCACTAGTGCGGAGGTGCGTAATGAGGTCAGCGACTGTGGGAAAGGCAGCAAGGTCAGTGAAGAGGTACGGTAGCATGAGGCGGCTCAGTGCAGCAAAGGCAGGGGAGGAGTAGCGTACAACTACAGCGTCGTACAAGGTCTGAGCACTCTTGTACTGGCTAAAGTGCGCACGCTCAGAGGTAGGCAGGTGGCGACGCACAGCAAGACGTGCAGCAGCATCGCGTGTGGACCACTGTGAGCGAACAGTGGCGTCAGCATCAGCAGCAGGGGGAGGAGAGGCACCAGAGGTGAGGTCAAAGAGGGAGAGACCGTCTGCCCTATCGCACTGTAGGAAAAGCTACAGGTTATCTACCCAGACATCAAAGTCAATGGCCCGACCCTCAGCGTCAAAAGCGAGGACACTAGGGGTAGCCATGACAGCAGTGGACTAGTAGCGCGAACAGTGGGGTAAGGGCAGTGCAGTGACAGAGGCTCTGCTCTTACCGGACAGGGCGGCTCGGGCGGCTCGGCAGCTCGGCAGGAACTGCAGCTCGGCGGCTCGGCAGGAACTGCAGCTCGGCGTCTCGGCAGGAACTGCAGCTCAGCGGCTCGGCTACTCTGCGGCTCGGGCGGCTCGGGCGGCTCGGGCGGCTCGGCGGGACGGCGGCTCGGGCGGCTCGGGCGGCTCAGGCGGCTCGGCGGGACGGCGGCTCGGGCGGCTCAGGTGGCGCGGCGGCTCGGGTGGTGCTGGCGGCTCGGCAGTAGCTCGGCGGAGCCGCGTGAAGGCGGGGTCGGGGCCGGGAAGGGCGTGCGACGGGGCCAGCAGGGGCTGGGCCGGGGCCGGGAAGGGGCAGCGCCGGGGCCCTGGGGTAGGCGACGGGGCCAGCAGAGACTAGGCCGGGTCGGGAAGGGCGGCGTCGGGGCCGAGAAAGGGCGGCGCCTGAGCCTGGAAGGGCAGCGACGGGGTCGCAGGTAGGCGATGGGGCCGCAGGTAGGCGACGGGGCCGAAGGTAGGCGGTGGGGCCGCAGGTAGGCGACGGGGCCGCAGGTAGGCGACGGGGCCGCAGGTAGGCGGCGGGGCCGCAGGTAGGCGACGGGGCCGCAGGTAGGCGGCGGGGCCGCAGGTAGGCGGCGGGGCCGCAGGTAGGCGACGGGGCCGCAGGGTCGGGGCCGGGTCGGGAAGGGCGGCGCGAGGGCCGCGGGGTAGGCGACGGGGCCGAAAGGGCGGCGAATCGGGGCCGGGAAGGGCGGCTTGAGGGCCGCGGGGTAGGCGACGGGGCCGCTAGGGCGGCGGATCGGGGCCGTCAAGGGCGGCGCGACACAGCCGCTAGGGCGGCGCGACAAGTGAGAATGGGGGAGCGCGACTCGGGCAAGGGCGGAGCGCGCTCCGGGCAGGAAAAAAAAATCGAAACGGTGGGCCCAAGGAACAGTTCCCACGAGGGAACCTGCTCGATACCATGAGAAAACTGAAACGAGAATGAATGCACTATGAAAGAGTTGGGTACAAGTTCTAACCCTAATTGGGTTGTACCCTATATGGGCTACCCCACTACAGCCTACACAAAAGCATAAGCTATAATGTCCTGACATGCGTCGCTTCGGAATTACAACCCAAGGCACCTGGCGGGTTCCTGTGTTTAGGATTGATTCCTCCCGAAATTGTGTCCCGGTTCCCTAGGGGTTATATGTTTTTTTCTCTGACCAAAAAAACCCGGCGCAAAAAAAAACTTAATGGATGGCTTGAAGAGGGACACGTGCCGGTGATGTTTGCCTGGCAGGATAAACTTTGAAAGTGATTCAAGTGAAAGAAATCCGCCTATGTTATCATGTTTGAGTAAACCTGTTACTACATTTGAGATAATCTAAACAACATAGTAGCTGGCACATACTTGGGTGGCACCGTTTGATTTCGAGATACTTCCGATTCGATGGCACGTGTTGGCGCCACATTCCAACCTTCGAGTTGAAGAAATTCACCACGCCGAAATTTTACTCGTGGCGCATTCGCGACGCGAGTCTAGCGCTGACATGTTACATGCGCGGTTCGATGTTATTCGTTTACAATAAGATACATAATAAAAAACGAAAAAATCATTGCATGCAGTGCAACTCAACTACATTTAAGAGAGCTCCAGAGCACTACCTAGCATGGCGACGACCATATCTCGCTCATTTCTTAGCCGATCGTTTGGGTTTTTTTGTCTCATTGGAAAGCCTACAGGGTGCTTTATGGATTAGTATAACTCCTCGTTTCTGCCGACAAGAGAACAGGCCTCTACAACAGTTGTATCAGAGTTAGAACGGTCTCGAGCTCGAATGCCAGTGTGGACCAAGTGAGCGCCAGTGCCCTAACAAGCCCCAAGTGAGGGGGGGGCGACCTCAGTGAGAAAGAGATTGTTGGTGGGGCAATGTGATCGTCCCCAGTTGAGTGTGAGAGGGATGTACGGCCTGGTGCATAATGGGAGTGCTACCCACTATACAAAAATCCCCTTTTAACACGAGTCGGTAGCAAGCTGGGCCAACAAAACCCCCTGCTCTACCCCCACTCCTCGCCACTTGTCGCCGCTCCTCATCACTCCTCGTCACTCCTCGCAATTCCTCGTCACTCCTCACCGCTCCTGGTCACTCCTCGCCGCACTCTTTAGTGCAACAACTCATAACAGGCTTAGCTTCCTTGAATGAAATAGGAGTGCGGTTGTACCTAGTTGTGTACGCTAACAGTAAGGATGTAACAATTCCCAGTCATCTTGTTACGGTATTTGAGACACCTTCGAGTACTCACAATTTGAAGATTTTGAGACACTAATTTATGACAAAGCTTAGGTTGAGTAAGGTAAGGGCGGGTCACAACTCATGTATCACTGTGAAGTTGTGTTTCAATGAGGTGTAGTAAGCAAACCAGTCCAGATTGCACACCACCGTGATCAACCGCAATAAGCGAGTGTAATGAAAATTCCTTCTCCGTATTTTACGTCCCTGCTCAGCGCGTACACCACCGTTCCCAGCACCCAACAGTAAACCGTTACCACTCGCATCGACACTGTTCCCGCCAATGTTCCCATCACGACCCAACCTCACGGTTCGGTTGGTAACCCGCGCTCCGGACCTCCGCCTCGACATTTTCCCAACCTCGGCGTCAGGCCCGTCGCGCACCCCAATTTCCACACATTACCGCTACCACTATAGTTTCACTATATATTCTTCACTCATGCCTTCGCTCATTGTACTCTTGCTTCGATAGTGCAATTGTCATTCGATCGCTCAATTGCACTCGTAACAGTGAGAAACCCAGGGTCCTTTGGCCGGGAAACAACAATATAGAGCAAACAATTGAGATGGAGGATGCCAAATAATAACAAATTTACTGGATGTCGAGCTACAACGCGGGGACAATGCCGAGACAATGCCATAGCACACCTTTATTCCTTCTCTACCTACCAGTCCTGAAATGGTGTGCTTTAGTGTGCCAACAACACCATAAAAAGCCTACTATAATCCAGGCATTCAAGAGTTGTTCTTGGAGCAGCGCAGCTTCTGGTGCGAAGCCCAGTACCCCGACTGGCACTTGCACATGGGCACGTACGCCTGTGTTTTGAGCAGCTGAGCCACATCCAACACGCACACGCCCTTGCCGCTACACGCCCCCGTGGCCGTGGCCGTCCCACAGAACTTGTTGCACTCCTGTGTGGTCTTCTGGCCTGCGGTGCCCCCGCACTTGGAGGGCACGGAGGAGAGGCAGTTGCCCGTGACGGAGAAGTCGTCAGAGCAGGGAAGGGAGGAGGCTGAGCCGGAGAAGTAGTTGTCCGCAGCGTTTACTTTCTTGACCCGCTGCAGGAAGGCCGGGAGGGGGCCTGAGAGGTAGTTGCTGGACAGGTCGCTGTGGGGGCGGGGAGTGGGGGGGTGTTGGAAAGGAGCTAGTGAGGAACTAAAATGGGAAAAGAGGCAGGAGTTGGGATGCTGTGAGTCGACTCAAAAGGAACTAAAAAGGGAAAAAAAGGTAGGAGGTGGGATGGGGCCCGAGAGGTAGTCGCTAGAGAGGTCTCTGGTTGGGTGGGGAGTGAGGGGTGGAGAGCAAGGAGAAGGAGAGGGTGAAGAGACGAATGTGGGGTCCAGAGAGGTTGGAAGCAGAGAATTGGGATGCAGAGCGGTGGGATGAGAGAGTACATTCAACCGCAGGTGCAAGCACGAGTTGCAAGGCATGATAGGGAGTGAAGAGGAGGGAGCAGGCAAGCAGGCAGCAGACGGGCCGGGAGTCCCTATCAGGCAAGCAGAGGCATACATCTCTGTGAGTTGCTTGAGGCCGCTCAGGTCAGGCAGAGGGCCGTAATACCATCCGTTCTGGAGGTACCTGCAGACATGCAGTCATGCAGACATGCAGTCATGCAGCCATGCAGTCATGCAGACATGCAGTCATGCAGCCATCCAGTCATGCAGACATGCAGACATGCAGCCATCCAGTCATGCAGACATGCAGACATGCAGCCATCCAGTCATGCAGACATGCAGTCATGCAGCCATCCAGTCATGCAGACATGCAGTCATGCAGCCATCCAGTCATGCAGATATGCAGTCATGCAGCCATCCAGTCATGCAGACATGCAGTCATGCAGCCATGCAGTCATGCAGCCATCCAGTCATGCAGACATGCAGAGAGATGAGTGGAAGGGAGAGGGTGAGTGTTGCGAGGAAAGGGCAAGGTGGGGTGGGGTGGGGTGGGGTAATTGCAGCATGGTTACCAGTTAATGGTCAAGGCGAAACAGTACTAATCCCTCCTCCCTATTTCCCCCTCCCTGCCCTTTTTCTGCACCCCTCTGCCCCTTCCTTGTCCCCTTAAAAGCCTCACAGCTCGATGAGCTTCGCCCTTCACCCCTCCCCCTTTTTTCCCCACTATCAACACTGCCCCTCCCTTCCACCCCTCAGCCTCACAGCTCTTTGAGCTTCGCCAGTCCGCTGAGCGCCTTGGGCACCTGCCCGTACAGCCGCGTGTCAGACAGAGAGCTGCACAGGAGGAAGGGGGGGGGAGGAAGGAGGAAAGATGCGAGAGGACAATGAGAAGGCGGTGAGTGAGTGGGCACCTTCCCGTACAGCCGCGTGTCGGACAGGGATCTGGGGGGGGCGAGAGAGGCGGGAGAGGGACGAGGTGAGAGGGAAGTAAGAGAGTGGTGAGAGGGCAGACGGGTGACACACAGGGAGCGGGGAGGAGGGGGAGAGGGGGAGCTTACAGGAGTGTGAGCTTACAGGAGTGTGAGCTTGGAGGGGTGTGAGCTTGGAGGCGTGTGAGCTTACAGGTATGTGAGCTGGCTCAGTGTTCCCAGGAATGCTGGAATCTCGCCCTCCAGAGCCGTCTCCCTCAACCCGCTGGTAGGGCAGTATTGGGGGTGCGGGGAAAAGGGGGGATGGATCGGGAAAAGAGGTTCAGGACGTGGCAGAGATTTGAGCCCGGAGGGGGAGGAGGGCGAGGGAAAGGGGAGGGAGGGATGGTGGACAACAAGGAGGGAGGGATGGTGGACAACAAGGAGGGAGGGAGCAGGGAAGAAAAGAGCTGGGACATGGGCGGTAGTTGTTTCATCTTTTACTGTTACAATAGATGCTGTGAGTCAGAGTATTGGCTAGAAGAGGGGCAGAGTGGGCGAGGGAGAAAGAGAGGGGAGTGAGTGAGTGTGAGACTCACAGGTACTTGAGCTTCTTGAGTTTGGACAGCGCCTTGGGAATGGGACCCTCCCAGTAGTTCTTGCTCACCACGCTGTGAGAGGGGACCGGGAGGACGGAGGAGGGATGGGCGTGAGTTATTGTGTGGGATTGTGTGAGGGAGTGTGTGTGTGCAGCAGAAAGGAGTGGGGGGAGGGGATGCGATAGTGTGTAAAGGGGCATTGCGCGCACTGCGCTCACTGCGCGCACTGCGCTCACTGCGCGCACTGCGCTCACTGCGCGCACTGCGCTCACTGCGCTCACTGCGCGCACTGCGCTCACTGCGCGCACTGCGCGCACAGGTACTCTTCACATATGATCCGCGCGTGATATGTCGAGGTTTGAGTCGACTCAAAACTCGACTTGTCACTCAAGGGGCACTCCGCTCACTGCATTCACTGCGCTCACTGCATTCACTGCGCTCACTGCATTCACTGCGCTCACTGCATTCACTGCGCTCACTGCATTCACTGCGCTCACTGCATTCACTGCGCTCACTGCATTCACTGCGCTCACTGCATTCACTGCGCTCACTGCATTCACTGCGCTCACTGCATTCACTGCGCTCACTGCATTCACTGCGCTCACTGCATTCACTGCGCTCACTGCATTCACTGCGCTCACTGCATTCACTGCGCTCACTGCATTCACTGCGCTCACTGCATTCACTGCGCTCACTGCATTCACTGCGCTCACTGCATTCACTGCGCTCACTGCATTCACTGCGCTCACTGCATTCACTGCGCTCACTGCATTCACTGCGCTCACAGCTACTCTTCTCAGGCGCGTGACGCTCACAGCGTTGGGGGGGGGATGAGCGGCACTCACAGCTGCTCCTGTCTACGTGCAGCGCACTCACAGCTGCTCCTGTCTACGTGCAGCGCACTCACAGCTGCTCCTGTCTACGTGCAGCGCACTCACAGCTGCTCCTGTCTACGTGCAGCGCACTCACAGCTGCTCCTGTCTACGTGCAGCGCACTCACAGCTGCTCCTGTCTAAGTGCAGCGCACTCACAGCTGCTCCTGTCTAAGTGCAGCGCACTCACAGCTGCTCCTGTCTAAGGGCAGCGCAGTCAAGCGCAGTCAAGCGCAGTCAAGCGCAGTCAAGCGCAGTCAAGCGCAGTCATTCGTCTCTGGGTCACACTCACAGCTGCTCCAGGTTGGTGAAAGAGCCAATGAAGTCTGGAAGTGGCCCGTTGAAGCGGTTGTTGCGCAGATAGCTGGAGGGTGGGAAGATGGGGAGGGATGGTGGATGAGAGGGTTGGGGGAGAGGGAATGGGAGATGATGGAGGGGGCAGGCACCCGGGTAGAGGGGAGAGGAGAAGGATGGGATGGGATGGGGGATGAAAGAACAAAAATCTCAAGGAAACATTTTTATTTTAGTTGAAAGGCATCCTCTTTTACTCTTCCTTTTCCTCGTCTCCCACACTCTCCATCCCAAGCTCCATCCCATCCCTCCCCCCCCTACACCCACTTCCCCTCCATCTACCCCCTAAAGCACGCACAGCTCTTTGAGTTTCTTCAGATTGGCAAAGCTTGAAGGGAGGGCCCCACCCACGCCGTCCTCGCCTGTTCCAGCGATGTTGCTGCCAGGCCGTGTGCAAGAATATGGTAGAGGAATTCGCTTCGAGCGATTCAGTCGAAAGGGAGATGGTGTTTGAAATAGGAGGCGAATCCGTGATACACGGTGAGTAGAGAGGTCGAGGACGTTTCTAGCGAACACGAGGATGGAACAACGAGACGAGGATGCTTTCAACGACACGAGGTCGCTTACAGAGAGACGAGATTGACAAGGCTGCCGAAGCTGGCTGGCACAGCACCTTCTAGCGGGTTACCACCAATGCTCCTGTCGTGCGGGCAACAGCAAGGGACATGGCCGGGGATGGGGGATGGGGGATGGGGGATGGGGGATGGGGGATGGGGGAGCATTGAGACAGCTTGACGCAGACATTAGGGGATGAAGGGTCTATGGATGGAGCTTGGCGTGACACGTGGATGGCGTATTGATTGGCAGATGCACTGAATGGCATCGCACGGCATAGCATGACACAGCACGGTATGGCACGGCACGGCATGGCACGGCACGGCATGGCGTGAAAGGTTGACTGACAGGTATGTGAGGGCGGTGAGTTGGCCGAGAAAGGCCGGAATGCGCCCCTCTATCCAACAGTTGTACACATCGCTGCACGCGAGAGGCGGGGAGAGGGGGGAAGCAGGAGCATGGATGAGGGAAGCGAGATGGGCGGGGGTGGGAAGAATGTGAGAAAGAAACAGAGAGAGAAAACCAGAGGGAGGTGAGAGGCAGGGGCAACGGGGAAAAGGGGAAAAGACGCCAGCCTGGTACGGTTCAGATTGCTGCCCGTCCCACCCGCACAGTACTGCACCGCATTGCATCCTGCTGCACTCACAGGTGGCTGAGCTTCTTGAGCTTGGTGAACGACTGCGGCAGCGCCTTCACCTCGCTGTTGGAACTCAGATCGCTGTCGCGTAAAGTGTTGGGGCGAGGGGAAGACGACGGGCGGGGAGCGGTGAGGAGTGGCGAGGAGCGGCGGAGAGCGGTGGGGAGTGGCGGGGAGTGGCGGGGATTGGGAGGGAGCGAAGAGGGAACGGTGGGAGGGAAGGGAGGAGGCGACAACGCAGGGGGGTCTAGAAACTCCAAGAGAGAAATGCACGAGAACGAGGTAATTGGCCAGACGAAGCAAGCACAAGGGCCGGGATCAGCTAAAATAGGCTTCAGATGGGAGGTGCGAGACCGGAATGTGACCGGCTTAGTGTGTGGAAGCTAACAGGGTGCTCCGCTCACAGGCGTTGGAGCTGTTCGAGTGTGGATTGGAGGGTGAGGCAGGGTGGGAGGGGGTGAGGCGGGATGGGAATGGGTGAGGCGGGATGGGAACGGGTGAGGCGGGATGGGAACGGGTGAGGCGGGATGGGAATGGCAGCCTGGAGGGGTGAGGGGCGAGGCTCACAGGCGTTGCAGCTGGTCGAGCGTGGAGAGCGCGTCGATGGGCCCCACGAGATTGGCAGACGTGGCGTTGCTGCGCGCGGAGATTCGGAGAAAAGGAATAGGGAAGCAAAGGGCGCGAAACACGGAGATACGGGGCGGAGGACACGCAAGCACGGGGCAGGGAATACAGAGGCACGGGAAGCGACAGGGGCAGACGATGGGATCTTTAATTCCGCGGGGAGGCAGAAGGCGCATCATAGGTGACGAATTCCTCGTTGCGTTTTACTACAGTAGTCATAAGCTACACTTCTGCTCTTCATCAAAAGTTTGGAGCAAAGGGATGAACATCATAGCAGGCAATGGCCACTATTGACACGTGATAGAAGCAGTGTTTTGAGGCGTCTCAAAACGCCATGGCGGGCATTAGAGGTTAAGAGTTGAGGTTGCGACCGCTGGTCACTTTTGACAAATTCATAAAAGCAGCTCAGCGGACCTCAGGCTTCGGTCGCGACTCCGCTGCGACGCAGCGACGCACTCATCGTCGCACGGCACTCACATGGCGACGATCTTGCCCTCGGCGTCGCACGTCACGCCGCGGTACTTGGAGCACTTGTCGGGCGCGCCGCTCGCCGTCCACGACTTGAACACAAAGTCCTTGCCCGACTGCGCGCCGAGCTGACGGAGAACGTCCACTGACGGACGGAGGTGGACGGAAGGGATGATGGACGGGGACGGAAAATGCGTCGTGAATGATGAGAAGGGCGACTAACATTGCTTCAAGAACTGCGCAGGAAAAAAAACATTCCACCCAACGACGGACAGACACGTACGCTGCGACTTGAGGATGGTTGGATCGGACGACGAGGCCACGCGGATTGCGTCGCCTGTGGGGAGGAGAGTCGCGGCAAAGATCGCGATAACGGAGACGAGCGCCAAAAGCGCCAGCCGAGGCAGACGCGAGAGCGACGCGATCGAAGCCATCGCCTGAAGAAATCTCTAGAGTTACTGATGAAGGATTCAGGACCTCGTGGAGGACGGATGACGTGAAGATATGTCGAAGGTTAACCGGAAGTTGGCGACTATTAAGATGAAGTAAGGGTATGGCAAGTCGTTGCGGTGTTCAACCTAAGGGCGGGTGTAACGGGATAGTCGAACTCGGGTGATCGTACGGAGCTTCTGGGAATATCATATCGATAGCAGTGGTTTCTTTATACCGTACCGCTGATGTTCAGGCGGGAACAGTGCGAGGGAAGGCGAAATGGAGGGAGAGGGCGGACCTGTGGGGGTAGCAGCGCAAGCGACGGCGGGAGGTGATGCCTGGTTGGCTGCATCGATATGCATTTGCCTCCTTCTCGAAGCGCGTGTCCCATCACACAAGATTATCGAACCGCATGCCATCCCATCCGCAAGGCTTCTCGAGCCATCGCCGTCAAATTGGAAAGTTGTTGACCGTAGGCGACGGCGCTGCAGCACACCGCGATTATTGGTGCTTTGACTGGTGCAATAATCGTGTGACTGTTCTGCTGCTCACAGCAGTTCTGTACGGAGCATTTCGCGAGCAAAGTTGTGCATCCGTTACATTCATTTTAAGTCAGCCTGGAGTGTTGTAGCATTTACACTGCCTCCTCATATCGAGAACAGCCCTTCGGCGCATCGCACGGCGAGAGATGCTCAGATTCAGCTCCCTCTCATTTAGGACGTGTTCGAACATGTGTTTGGTTGCTCCTGTGGTCGAACATCTGGCTTCGTCAATGGCTTGCGACATCTTTCGCCAGGTAACACATGAAACCCCACATTGCAAATCAGAGAGGCTTTAAGGTTTCGGAAGGGGCCCTGGTCGCTCTCAAAGCGAATAATCTGAGTTCGTCAATCACTCGGAGCAAATTGGATTGCACCACATCACCCACGACAACACCTGGTTTCATGTCGCATGATTCTTCTTACGTCGCCAATCTTTGTCCTCCCCTCGTGGACCCAAAAACGTGGGGCAACAAAAGGGCACGGGCTCTGAAACGAGTGCTTCTAGAAATTTTCGTCACTCTATTGACGACGTTTAATGGCGAGAATCGCAACCTGTGTTACTGTCGCAACTGCACGACCATGCCTTGTTCACAGGGATCTTCCACGCTCTTACAACTCGTAACACATACTTTTGTTTCTCGAGATGCACTAATATGCTCGTAACACATTGGTCCTCTCCGTGATTATTGCATCAAAGCACAAATAATCGTCGTGCGCACTGTCGCATGGGATCTACCACAGCACTCTCCGATCTGACGGCGGTGACTCCGAAAGGCTTCTCTCAACCCCAAGTTCCCCATCGTATGACCGTCGATGGGAGATGACATGCGGTTCGATAATTTCGTATTGCACACACGCTTTGAGCAGGAGGCATTGCATTGCAATAGACAGCCAACCAGGCATCAGCTCCTGCCGTCACAAGCGCTGCTACCCCCACTGGTCCTCCAACTGCCTCCATTTCACTCCGCCTGCCCCCGCTACTAATCCTGCCGATCTTCAGCAGTATAAATGCACCATCTGATTCCTCCACCATCCATCCTTTCTCAGTACATCGGCCGCTCAGCCTCGACAGTCCCTGTGCCCTTGCTCAGTCTGAACAGCGCAACGACTTGCGATATTCCTACTTCAACAATCGTCGAGTTTTAGCTTCACCTTCGCCATACTACCTTTTCGTTCTTTTTCTGGTCATCCACGAGATCCACATTCTTTCATTCGAGCAGCTTTTTTCCGTCTGATGGATTCGATCGCGTCGCTCGCGCGCCTGCGTCGGCTGGCGCCATCGCCGCTCGTCGCCGTCGTCGTCGTCGTCGTCGCAATCGCCTCCGCTGCATTCCTCCCCACCGGTGACGCTATCCGCGTGGCCTCGTCGTCCGATCCAACCATCCTCAAGTCGCAGCGTACGTGTCGTCGTTCCACCATTGGCGGGGATTTTGTGTCCTGCCCGGTACTTCCACAAAACGTTATTTCGCCCTTCTCATCCGTCAATTTCCTTCCGTCATCCCCTCCGTCCACCTCCGTCCGTCAGTGGACGTTCTTCGTCAGCTCGGCGCGCAGTCGGGCAAGGACTTTGAGTTCAAGTCGTGGACGGCGAGCGGCGCGCCCGACAAGTGCTCCAAGTACCGCGGAGTGAAGTGCGATGCGGAGGGCAAGATCGTCGCCATGTGAGTGTCTCGCTGAGCCGTTTCGGGGTCGATATCCACGCAAAAGCTGAAGAGAAACCGCAACGAAACCGTTTTTTCCGCGGATCGCTCAAAAGAAAAGGGCGACGTTCTGAATCGCCACCTGTCACAGCTGCGAGTCTGGCCCCCACGTGGCAACTTCTCAACTTACCTCTGCCTCTGCCTCTGCCACTTCCCCCTGCTTGCGTATCCGATCCCCCCCGGCCTCCGTGCCTCCGCGTGTCTCCGCACGCAGCAACGCCACGACTGCCCGCCTCGTGGGGCCCATCGACGTACTCTCCTCGCTCGACCAGCTGCAACGCCTGTGAGCCTCCAGCCTCGCCCCCTCCGAGGGAGTCCCTCCAATGCCGTTTGCATCCTGCCTCGCCTCCTCCCTCCAGACGCCGGTCCCGTCGCTTCTTCCCTTCCCATCCACCCTCGCATTTTCCCATCCACTCCCAAACTCTCTCCTGCACCGCACAACAACTCCTCGACTCTTGAGTTCATTAATTCCCTTTTAGCTTATCCGTTCCATCCCAAACCGCACATCTCCATTCGCTCGTTCACTACATCACTCCTTTTGTGTTCCTTGGATCCCGCATTGATTGAATTTTGCAATACGTGGCTCCTATTTTGCATCTCGCCGCATCCCTTTCCCTGTCTAAATGCCTACCCCCGTTCTCCGCTCCTTCCCCCCTTCTCCGCTCCTCTCCGCATCTTTCCACTCCTCTCCGCATCCTCTTCGCCCCTCTCCACTCCTCTCTGCACGGCGCGGTCGCAGCGATGTGAGTTACAACGGCGACGTGGAGGTGCTGCCGCAGTCGTTCACCAAGCTCAAGAAGCTCATCCACCTGTGAGTGCCCCAGGGTACAATGCGGTGCTGTGCATTGCTGTGCGGCCGCAGCGATGTGAGTTACAAAAACGGCGTGAAGGTTTTGCCTCAGTCGTTCACCAAGCTGAAGAAGCTCAACCACCTATGAGTTCGCCAGCTGGCAGCGCATAGGTTCTGCGCGGTGCTGTGCAGTGCTGTGCGGCTGAAAGACGGACTGTAACTCGTGCACGACATTGCAGTGATTGCTGCTCGTCTCATTTGAACGATCTCCTCCCCTAGCGCGATCTCCCCGCATTGCCCCTGCCTCTTCCCACTCTCTCATTCTCTCCTCACCTGTAGCCCTTCTTCCCTCCTTGCTCCTCATTCTGTTTCCTCCGCTCCCGCCCCACCCACAGCAATGTGTACGACTGCTGGATCAAGGGGCGCATTCCGTCCTTCCTCGGCCAGCTCACGGCCCTCACATACCTGTCAGTCAACGAGATATCCCGTTCATCCCATGCCTTGCCATGCCATGCCAAGCCACCATGCCTTGCCATGCCGTGCCATGCCATCCCATGCTGGCTTTCGCACCAATTTCCATGCAGACGTGAATCTTCAGATGCAGAAAACTCTGAATTCCTCAAGCCCTCCACAAGCCCTCCTCAAGACCTCCTCAAGCCCTCCACAAGCCCTCCACAAGCCCTCACACCCCCAAAACCAATCAATCCTGTTTTAACCCCTCTGCACCTTTGCCCTTTCCCCACTTTTGCCCTAACCCACCTTCGCCCATCCTCCCTCTGGTTCCAATACTGTGTTGCCCGCACACAGGAGCGTTGGTGGTAACCCGCTAGAGGGTGCTGTCCCAGCCAGCCTCGGCAACCTTGTCAACCTCGTCTTTCTGTAAGCACCCTCGACTCGTTAAACGCATCATCGTCTCGTTCTAGGCAATATCACCTCGTTATAAGCACCCTCGTCTCAGTATAAGCATCTTCGTCATAAGCATCCCCGTCTCAGTGTAATCGTCCTCATGACTGACCATCTACATCCCTGTCATCAGCACTGCTTTCACTAAACCCGAACCAGCACCACCTCCCAAACTCATACCACCCCGCTAGCTTGCAAGCACGTGTATAGCCAGGTCTCACTGCGTCTCCCCCCTGTCTCCCCCCATCTCCCCCTCTTCTCCCTTGAAACCGCCGTGGCAGCAACCTGGCTGGAACAGGGGAGGACGGCATAGGAGGGGCCTTGCCGTCGAGCTTTGCCAATCTGAAGAAGCTCAAAGAGCTGTGCGTGCCTAGGGAGGGAGGATAGGGGAGGGGAAAGAATGTGGGAGAGTGCCAATACGAAGAAGTTGAAGGATCAGAGGGTGCCTTAGGGGGGACGGAGGGTGGAGGAGAGAGAGCGGAGGATCAGAGGGTGCCTTAGGGGGGACGGAGGGTGGAGGAGAGAGAGCGGAGGATCAGAGGGTGCCTTAGGGGGGACGGAGGGTGGAGGAGCGGGGTATAGGGAGAGAGAGGGGAGAGGAAGGGAGTGGAGTGGGGAGAGAGAGTGGAAGGAGGATGTGGAATGCATAGCTTTGTGAACACTGTTTCCTCAGCAACCAAGTTTCCATCCCATCCCATCAACCTCGTCCTTCGCTCTTTCTTATCTGCCATCCCCGCCACCCTCGTCTTCCCTCCCCTCCCCTCCCCTCCCCTCCCCTCCCCTCCCCTCCCCTCCCCTCCCCTCCCCTCCCCTCCCCTCCCCTCCCCTTCCCTCCCCTCCCCTCCCCTCCCCTTCCCTCCCTTCCCTCCCCTCCCCTCCCCGTTTCGTCCCCCCCTCTCCACCCCCAGCTATCTGCGCAACAACCGCTTCAGCGGGCCTCTGCCGGAGTACATTGGCTCTTTCACCAACTTGGAGCGCCTGTGAGTGTGTCTCACCTAGACTAGAGCCTGTGAGTTGCGCTTGCACTGTGACTTGAGTGCCACGCACGTTTTTCAACCTTGCAACGACTAGGTGTGTGTGCTTTCGACCATCGCTCTCTCTTCTGCACCACACTCACACACACACATACTCTATCTCTCACTCCCATCCCTCCTTTCCTCCCCCCTCCTTCACAGCACCGTGAGCAAGAACTACTGGGAGGGTTCCATTCCCAAGACCCTGTCGCAGCTCAAGAAGCTCAAGTACCTGTGAGTCTTCCTCAGGCTAAGGAGCCTTTTCCGATCCCTCCTCCTTCCTCCCTTCCCTCTCAAGCTCCCAAGACCCTGCCGCAGCTCAAGAAGCTCAATTACCTGTGAGCTAATTTCGCTTACACAAAACCTTGTAAGCAAATCTCCCTCACTCTTCTACTTGATTTCCTCTTTATCTTTCGCCTTGTTGTGCTATGTCCCAACTCTCTCCTCCTCGTCCTCCTCTGCCTCCCCTCCCTCTCCCTCGCTCCATACTGCCCTCCCAGCGGTCTGATGGAGACCGCTTTTGAGGGCGAGATCCCAACGTTCCTGGGCACACTTGGTCAGCTCACATACCTGTAAGCTCACACCCTCGTAAGCTCACACCCTCGTAAGCTCACACCCTCGTAAGCTCACACCCTCGTAAGCTCACACCCTCGTAAGCTCACACCCTCGTAAGCTCACACCCTCGTAAGCTCACACCCTCGTAAGCTCACACCCTCGTAAGCTCACACCCTCGTAAGCTCACACCCTCGTAAGCTCACACCCTCGTAAACTCACACCCCTGTAAGCTCGCATACCTCTGTTCAACATCTCCCCACCCACCTCCCCCACCTCTCACCCTCCACTCACGCCCCTCTCGCCTCCCTCTACTCGCACAGCTCCCTGTCCGACACGCGCCTGCACGGCAACGTGCCCACTCACTCACCGCCTTCTCATTGCCTGGCCCACTCACTCACCGCCTTCTCATTGCCTGGCCCACTCACTCACCGCCTTCTCATTGCCTGGCCCACTCACTCACCGCCTTCTCATTGCCTGGCCCACTCACTCACCGCCTTCTCATTGCCTGGCCCACTCACTCACCGCCTTCTCATTGCCTGGCCCACTCACTCACTGCCTTCTCATTGCCTGGCCCACTCACTCACCGCCTTCTCATTGCCTGGCCCACTCACTCACCGCCTTCTCATTGCCTGGCCCACTCACTCACTGCCTTCTCATTGCCTGGCCCACTCACTCACTGCCTTCTCATTGCCTGGCCCACCCACTCACCGCCTTCTCATTGCCTGGCCCACTCACTCACTGCCTTCTCATTGCCTGGCCCACTCACTCACTGCCTTCTCATTGCCTGGCCCACTCACTCACTGCCTTCTCATTGCCTGGCCCACTCACTCACTGCCTTCTCATTGCCTAGCCCACTCACTCACCGCCTTCTCATTGCCTGGCCCACTCACTCACTGCCTTCTCGTTGCCTGGCCCACTCACTCACCGCCTTCTCATTGCCTGGCCCACTCACTCACTGCCTTCTCATTGCCTGGCCCACTCACTCACCGCCTTCTCATTGCCTGGCCCACTCACTCACTGCCTTCTCATTGCCTGGCCCACTCACTCACTGCCTTCTCATTGCCTGGCCCACTCACTCACTGCATTCTCATTTCCCTCTCACGTCTTCTTCCTCCTGCGCAGCTCTCTGTCTGACACGCGGCTGTACGGGCAGGTGCCCAAGGCGCTCAGCGGACTGGCGAAGCTAAAAGAGCTGTGAGGCTGAGGGGGGGAAGGGAGGGGCAGTGTTGAGAGTGGGGAAAAAGGAGGGGGCGAAGGGCGAAGCTCGAAGAGCTGTGAGGCTTTGGGGGGACAACGTTGGGCAGAGGGGGGACAGGCGTGGGGAGAGGGGGGAAACAAAGGGAGTTCAGGAGGTAGAGGGGAGGGTAGGGGGGGGACAGGGGGACGGCCTGCAGAGGGAATAGGCAGGCAGAGGGGGAACGGACTGTGGGTTGTTAGAATGGAAAGGCAAGGGGGATCGGACTGTGAGCCTAGATCGCTATCACCTTATTCAATCCTTATACCCACCCTATGTCTCCCATTGTTGGCTTCACTTTCACCCATCGCCTCCTTGACCTCTCCTCACCACACTCCACCACTCCCATGCCACGCTGCACCCATGACTGCAGGTACCTCAACAACGGGTGGTACTATGGCCCCCTGCCTGATCTGAGCGGCCTCAAGCAGCTCACCCTCATGTACGCCCCCCACCGCCCTGCTCTCCCTGCTCTCCCTCCTCGCCCACTGGCCTCCCTGCTCTCTCATTCACTATCCTGCCTGATCTGAGCGGCCTCAAGCAGCTCACCCTTATGTACGCCCCTCGCCGCCCTCAGTCTGTGTACGTGGGTCATGTACGCCCCTTGCCCTCAGTCAGTCTAGATCAACCACGTCCTGCCTGCCTGCGCACTCCTTTCTTTCCCTGTCTTGCCTGTATTCATCCCGTGCTTATGTTTGCATTCTTTCACTGCCCTTCGGGTCAATTGCCTCTCTGCATCCCACCTCTCTGCCTTCTCTCATTTTCTTCCTCACCTGCTTCTTTCCAAGACTCCTCATCTCTCCACCTTCCACCACCCACTCCCCACCCCTCAGCGACCTTTCTGGCAACTATTTCTCAGGCCCCATCCCGGCCTTCCTGCAGCGGGTCAAGAAAGTCAACGCGGCAGATAACTATTTCTCCGGCTCAGCCTCCTCCCTTCCCTGCTCCGACGACTTCTCCGTGACGGGCAACTGCCTCTCCTCCGTGCCCTCCAAGTGCGGGGGCACCGCGGGCCAGAAGACCACGCAGGAGTGCAACAAGTTCTGTGGGACGGCCACGGCCACGGGGGCGTGTAGCGGCAAGGGCGTGTGCGTGTTGGATGTGGCTCTGCTGCTCAAAACACAGGCGTATGTGCCCATGTGCAAGTGCCAGTCGGGGTACTGGGCTTCGCACCAGAAGCTGCGATGCTCCAAGAACAACACTTGAAGCTGCGTTACAGTGCTCTGCTTTGGAAGGAGGAAAGCGTTACAGCGTAGCATGCCATTTCCAGTTTAGTAAGAATAAAGATGCGGCATGGAGTGGCATCGTTTGTTGCCATGTGTGTTCAGTAAATAAGCCGTTATGGCTCCCCAGTTTCAGCTCAAGTGTTCGTAATTCCTCATCACTCTGAACCCTTCTGCTTAACTGCGACACCGCATACTTTGCTTGCAACTCGTGCACACTTGAACTCAGCCACAGAACATCCATGAAAAATCCGCTGCATCATTATTCTTCTACGCATCTCACCCCTACCGACTATGTTTGACAATTGTGGGTGTCATGTAAGAGAAATCAACCAGCTATAATTCCATAAGGCATCCGCAGAGCCTAGTAACGAGTGAGCTCCAAACCTGGTCAGCGACCCCACACAAAATCATCTACTGTGCTCCCTTGGTGCCGTACATGATGCATGCGCCAACCATCGCGCACGCAAAGAAGATCGCAAAGCCCGCCAGCATCCACTGCCACCATTCCAGCGACGCGTGGCAGGAGAAACTGCACTCACACTTCTGAAGATTGCCTGAAAGAGAGGGAGAAGGGGAGGTGAGCACGGAGGGGTATGTGTGGGTGAGAGAGCTGGGAGGTATTGACCAGGGATGGAGAATACGCGATGTGTGATGGGAAACGGTGCAACTGAAAATGGATGGAATATATAGATTATATTGTCAACCTTCGAAAATAAGTGGGAGAGATGCAACTCCAGGGATGAGGGAAGGGGTTGTGAGCGAGCGCAGGGCGCAGGGCAGAAAGAAACGAGTGAACGAGGGGAAAAGATGGTATGATGGGCGGAAATGAGGGGGAAAAAGAGCAGGGTTTGGCGAAGTGGAGGGAACGGGCGGAAACGAGCAGAGGATTGGAGAGAAGCAGGAAACAGGCGGAGACCAACAGCTGTTGGGTTTACACCGTGCAAGGTAAAAGAGTACTGCAGTCCGCGCCAGCTCGCCTGACATCTCCAGATCAAGGAATATCGCACGTCCCGGTAGCGGTGAGTGGGAAATGAAGCGATAAAGCGAATTTTTGCTGATGAAAAGAAAAGAAACCCCCAGGTTTCAAACATTTGCTCGTTGTAGCAATCATGATGGGAGCACATAGCTTCACGGTAATTTCCAAACGTAATCGTCTGCGCTGCTTAGGTCCAGCCCGGGCAAGGCGGTACTGTGAGATCTTCCAGTGAGCAGCATCGCTTAGGATCTAGGCTTAAGGAAGTAGGAAAAACCAGTGTAAAACTAATACTAGCTAATCGCCAAGAGTCTGCGCTGCTTAGGTCCAGCCCGGGCAAGGAGGTACTTCGGCAATGACGGCGCACCAGCGAACTGCGCTTTTGGAGGCTGGCTGACGTCAGCACTATTCCAGACACAAAGGTGCACCCTCGCTTCAAAGAACGGACATCCGTTGGTGCCATGGAAGGACGTACCTCCGCAAAAGACGGGGTTGAAGTAGGGAACACAGCCGGACGGAACGTTGGCGAGGTACTTTGCGGAAAATGTGCCGTGTGCAATAGTAACGCACGGACTTTTGAGTCGACTCAAGAGTCACAACATATCCTGAAAAGGCGTACCTCCGTTGAAGATGGGGTTGAAGTAGGGAACACAGCCGGAAGGAACGTTGGCGAGGCAAGTCTGCGAAAATGCGGTGCAGGTGGGGTGAACCAAAGGACACAACGGGAGTGGCGCAAAGAGAACGGGATGAGCGCGCGGATATGCGTCGAATGATCGGAAGCTTGGCGGAAGAAGAAAAAAGGAAGATGGGCGGAAAGGAGTGAAAGGTGCCCCACGGAGAGCAAGGGCGAGGTCCTTGGGAACAGTTCGGGATTCTATAAAATGCCGCGAGCATTGAGACGTTTGTCAGGCGCCTCAAAGATCGTATCAGTTAAGGGCGCCCAACGGAGGTCAATGGCGAGGTACGTAGGGGCAGGAACTGTTCAGAACTTTACGCAAGTTCTGACGAAAGCATTTCGTGCGCTGACAAGGATTCCTTGCCGGGTGCGGTGCGGCGAACCATGTCCAAACATGTGACGAAAAACAGAAAGGATTAACAAGGCAAACGGCACATGTATACTGTGTTTTAAACGCATCAATACTTAACGTCTAAAATAATTATCATATGCTTTCTCTGAGCATTACTATCGGAAAACACTTTAAGTCCAATGCAGGTTACGTCGAAGAATCAGTCGTAGCCAGCAAATAATTGAAACTGCTCAGGCATAGAGATAGCGGCAGCGGAACGTACCACGCATTGCCCTGTGCAGTTGAGGTAGATGGTGTTGTTGCCCGACAAAGTGCACGCGTTATTGCATGTTGAGTTGTAATTTGTCTGAGCCGAAGCCAAGTGTAGCAACGTGGCGAGAGCTATGGCCAGCAGCAGCACGTTGGCCTTCATGGTTACTAGAAAACACAAGCCTAGTTTTCTTGGCGTGGTCAACTGGTGGAAACTAACGGACAGACCAGAACGAGAGAAGTGGAGAATGTTCACAGACCAAACAACAGGAGGGAACTGGAGGAGACTTGAGAGACTGTATGTTTGAATGGTCAATGTTCGACGGATAGGATTACTCTTCTCACTTCTGTTAGCCAAAAATGGCAACCACACCACGCCAGCGAGTTTCACCACGGCTCGTGTTTTGGTGTGGATGGAGGCTCGCTGACGTGACACTCGGCGGGAGATTGACCGAAGCAGGTTTGGGTCTGTCAGCCAGAGGAACAACCAGGGCCGAAGCTTGAGGTTCGGGTGAAACTTCTCGACGTGGTTGACCCGCGGCTTGGCTACCGAGCTCGGCTTGGAGCAAACGGAGAGGCAAAGAATTGATTTGTACGAATCGCTGTCGGCTTCTGGATACCGAACGTGAATTGTGGCACGGAACCAAGAACGAACGAAAGGAAGTGCCCTATTTGTTAAAGGGGCACCTCTGCTTCCTATCATGCTTCCCGTTATCTCCACTTACCTTACATGCCATTCCAAAAGAGAGTTGTATGAGATGTAAGGAATAAAGAAACGCCATCGTATGAGGGGATCCAAGTTATGTTCCATATTTTTCAATCACATATGGCGATCCAGGATTCGAGTGCCGGTTATATAACATACGCAATGTATTTCATAAATTATATTGTATTGCATTGTAGAAGGTGCATACGTGCTAGATAGACCCCCCTCTGTATACTCTCAGTCTTTATTCGTTCCCTTCTTAATACGGTATGGTATCATCTTAGGTTAGGTTGCTCGCTTCCGCATCACCTACACCCCTTGATGCCCTTGTGCTCACACGACCCTTGCCCCTTAAGCGCCCCCTAGCATCCTCTAGCAGCCAGCATCTAGCCCCCCCCCCCCCCCCCTCTCTCCCCCTTCCAGCGCCCCGTCACGCCCCTCCCTCTAGTGGCCTCGTCGCACCCCAAGCACTGCCCCATCGCACCGTAGGCGCACCATGCCATGTGCCCTGTCGCGCGCCTACTGTGCGCCCTGCTGCGCTTCGTACCGCGCCCTACCACACCCTACTGCGCCCGCCGTGTGCCAATTGCGCATCCGCCGAACCTGCCGGCCGCGCTTGCAGCTGCACCTAGCAGGAGCGCCTGACGCCGCGCCTGTTGACACCGCTGAGCCTGCAGCTGTTGTTCGCCGTCACACATGCGGCTGTTGTCTGCCGCCGCATCTACAGATCCGGTTACGGTTTACCTCAGCTTGTGTTCTCCTCCCTTCTTGCTGTCCCCTTTTATTCGATCTAGCAGCCGCCCCTCGACAGAGGGAAGATAGGGAGGAGCAGGCGAGGGTGGGAGGGGAGGGAGAACCCTGGGAAGACCAGAGACAAGGACACGGCGGTGCATGCTACGAAGCCGCTGCACCGAGGGGTGACCAAGGCGGTGGTGCCAAAGGAGGGTCTGGTGCGACAAAGCGCGACACGAGCAGGGGGCCGCTAGCTGACCTGACGCAGACGCAGACGTAGCGTACAGATGCCGGCCAGGTGCCGGCCCGTCCGGGAGCAGGTACAGTGGGTCACGCGCTGACCTCCAAGAGTGAACTGGTCAACCCACTGGTCCTGGAGGTCAGCACCACTCACCAAGTTCGTAGAGAACAAGGGGAGGTGAAGACCTGACAGGGAGCCAGACGGGACCGCCGGAAGGCAGGACCGTGGAGGAGTGTGCAAGGACTGGACCCCCAAAGGGATCTGCCAGCGAGACTGGAACCAGCCGACTGAGCGGCGTGAGGGTGGTGCTGTCGCGTTGGAAGGAGCGGGAAGCATCTGAGTCAAGTGTGAAGGTGTACAGGGCCTCAGCAGGCGTAGTACCAGAGAGAGCAGACTCACCAGCACATGGAGCAGCAGCAGCCTCACCAACACCCAGAACAGGAGACGCACTAGCACCTAGAGCAGCAGCCTCACCAGCACCGAGAGCATCAAGCTCTATACCTGGGTCAGGCGACACGCACAGGTAAGAGGCACGGTCAGCACTAGTAGGCAATGCATACATGACAGTGAGAATAGCATCATAGTCAAGAGCATAGATGTGAAAGTACGACGGTTTATGCCAGCTATGCTTGCTTGCCTTTACTTTATTATGCTATTTCTAGCATAGGATAATTACATGCATGCATGAATTGCTTGATTTCCTAGGCTAGGTGCTTTCATATATTTTATTATTGTTATAGCACCGAGCTAGGTTACGTGCACCGAATTCTGGCTTTCGGTTGCCACCAAATTGCCTTCTACCGAATTCGGTAAGGATCTGTTCAGGACGCTACGCGGCCCGCGGAACCTTCACATAACACCTGGTTATGAGGCCTTGTGTCGAGCCTATATACAGCCTCGTGTTGTACCCAGGTGATTCATTCAATTCATACAATTACAATTATCTTTTCTGAGCTCGATCCTAGATCCCCACCCTTGGTAATCAGAGCGGGTTTTCACGCGAGGTCTTCAACTGCTTAGTTCCGGCCTTTAAAAAACCGCCGGGGCGACGACGAAAGCGCCGATACGGATATGTAAAACCAGTTCCGCGCAATTTTTCTGAAGTCCCCCTCGATTCGGTTTTCGAACACCCCTCAGATTTACTGGTGGAAAGGTTGGAGTTTCGACCGTCCGATCCAGTCTCATCTCAACGGCCCAGAGAATTTCGCTAAAAAACGTTGGAATTTGGAGTGTCAGATTGATTTTCTCCTCAACGGCCAAGATCGGACGCGAATTTCGCCTTGGAGAGATTTACGCTACCTACTGAATTCGTGCTCGTCGATCCTATAGTCAACTTGACTCGCAGTAAGTCGACCAGCACCTGGAATTTGATTATTTTCGTTGCGCATCTTCCTGTAAATCGCCAAATGGAGGGAAAAGGAGACATTTCAGTACAGAAAATCGCGGAGTTACGTGCTGAGCATAAGCAAATACATGTGGCGCTCCCACGGCTCGAAAAATTCCTTGCGAACCAGTCGGCAACCGCCACAGCAGTAGCGACAACAGTAGCAGCAGCAGCAGCAGCGGCAACACCGACAATTCTACATGCGACAACGGCAGCAGCTACAGTTAACCTCGAAGTAGTGAAGCCGAGGCTACCGGAGACATTCAATCCTACAGTAAAAAGGAACGAGGTTCGTCGATTTGTAGTTGAACTCGAAATTTACTTCGAAGCCGTTGGATGCACGACCCCGACAAAAGACGCAATGCGCATACGGCTCGCAGCAACACTTCTACGAGGCCTAGCTCTAGAGTGGATCAACAACAGAATAGTCCAAGGCGAGGGGACGCGGGCGCAGTTTCCAGCAGCACTGATCGAACAGTTCGACACGTTGAACAGTAGCTACTGCGGAACACGACACAAAAAGCCAACTAGTGGCATGAGGCGATTCGCACCACCCACGACTGCCAACCCGATGGAGAACGACGAGGGCGATGTGGAGCAGCGGCTAGCAAATAATGAGACCTGCAAATTTTGCGGCGCTACAGAACATCGTATCTTGGCGTGTTGGAAAATGAAGAGAAGGAGTGCGGAGCTGAAGGACAAGAACAGTGCGGCACCCCCGAAGCAGAAAACGGACAACGTGGCAACTTCGGAGAGGGCAAAAAAATGAGAATATGGTGGCGCAAAGTTAAAACGTCACGACAAGCCGACACCAGGGGAAATCGCCGAGACTAATGGAGGATCCGCGAAACAAGACCCTGCACCGACCGGGAAACTCCAGTCGTATACCCCGACAAGTAAGAATATTACGTCTCGTGGGTTTCAAGCCTTTATTACGGGAGAGTCAGAAATTAAACCGATACCGGGTATTATGGGGACCCTACGCTAGAGAGCTAATACGGGTCGAGCATTCCGAGGAGTTAATATTCTCTCCCAGCAGCACTGTTTAAAGTCTCCCTTTTCCCCACAGATTAAGCCTACATAGCTGCAAAGGCTTAGTGGAAGGTTCCAGGCCCAAGAGAAGCCGAATCGGCCTCGGATAAATCCTTCTAACCTTTCTCAGTTGAAAACTGATACTGAAGCTGCATCTTCGAGCGCAGGACCTAGGGATAACATATTCGACGTACCCTACGATCCTATAAGCGATACCATCTACGGATACTCGGAGCAGCAGCAACCACTAGTACTCGAGGTGATCTTCAACGGGCGTCGCCTCCAGGCCCTGGTGGACAGTGGTGCGTCCCACTCGGTGTGCGACCGCGGGACGTTGGAGAAAATTGGAGAATCCTCAGAAGAAACCCAGTTTACAGCAACGATGATGGAAGCAGACGCTAGTGACCAAGCAGTCGGAGCAGTACTGATGCAGCATCACGAACGCAGTTTGCAGCCCATCGCCTACCTCAGTAAGAAACTGTTACAGTGGGAGAAAGACTTAGCTGTAAGGAAGGGTTCAGGAAAGATTTGGGTACCGAATTACGCCTCGCTACGGCAGATCCTATTGGAGGAGTTTCACGACGTACCTTACGCGGGACATTTCGGGAGCAACAAGACCTTAGCAGGGATAGCGAAGTATTACTACTGGCCCGGGATGGCAGCAGACATGCAGCAGTTCGTCACCTCATGCGACACGTGCCAGCGGATGAAGAGAAGCAGGCAGAAAAAAGCAGGGTTACTTCAGCCTCTACCCGTACCGGAGCAGCCATGGCAGGTTGTTAGCCTCGACTTTATCACAAGACTTCCTTCGACCTCACGGGGGCACGATTCCATCCTCGTAGTCATCAAAAAGTTCTCCAAAATGGGTCTCTTCATACCGACCAACGCCATAGCTACAGCTGAAGCAACTGCTCGCCTCTTCTTCGACCGCATCATCACCATCCACGGCATCCCCGCTACACTCATCTCAGACAGAGACCCCAAATTCATGAGTAAAGTCGAGGCTAACAATCTGCCATGGTTGCTCCGGTACGGGTAGAGGCTGAAGTAACCCTGCTTTTTTCTACT